GTAGAGATCCAGGAGTGAAGGACAAAACAGTCGACAGCTACGGAGGCAAAGCTCAGGACTGGGGGGAAAAAAAGCAACGCTACAGAGCTTGGAGAAATGGGCCTTGCAGCGTGCTCCATGCAGCCTCTGTAATCCCTGTGTGATCCCAGTAATGTTGCCCTGGCACCGGCGGCTGCTTTAAGGCTACGCAGTTTAAGCTGCAAGAGCCTGGATTTCTTCCTTAGTGTTTTGTATTGGAATTACTCTTTCTGCATGGTTTTCTCTCTCTTTTAAATGAGTGCTTAATAACTGCTTGTTTTAAACTTGTATCCTGAAAAAAGCGGAATTTCAAGGCGCACGTATACACACCCTGTGATACTACCAGCCCTGAAGACAATCTAAGAATGCAGGTTCTGCATTTAATTGCTATTTATTGAAGCTGGTATTATTCCTGTCTAGTTACTTGGTGTTGAAATTCCCTCATCTCATGGCACTGAATTAGGCAGGTGGGTTCCTGTCCTCTAGGAAATAGCCTGCTGTGGATAAGCGTCTTGAAAATGGGCTGATCTGAGCTTCTCTTGTGAAAGCTCGTTTCACGTGTGGGCAGTATCTCATCAACCCAGTTAGACTGAGTTAGATCTTAACTTGGTAAAGTGAGAGGTATTCAGAAAGTTGTTCTCAACCGCTCAGCTTCTTAAAGAAAAGAGATCGACTTGCACGTGCTTTGGCTGCTTGTCTCTCTACCCTTCAAGTGCCTCGTGAACCTACTAGCCAAGAGTAACAACGCTGGAGGAAGGAACGACATTTCAGAGATCGTGTTTTTTTTTTTTTACAGTTTTGTGTGGGCAGTAGAGGGGAGAGCAGAGTTAATGGCCCATTCAGGAAGGATAGGCAGAGCTCAGATGTTTGTTCTGTTTGGCAGCGGGCAGCCAGCGAACCTGCCAGGGCATGTGGCTGGATTAGCCACAGCGTAGCCGTGGGGCAAGGGGAGCAAGTTAGGGGGACAAAGGACACAAATCCGGAGGAACCCGGGGGTTCATCAGTTCTACTGCTCATTTGTTTTTTAATTTTTTTCCCCCACTCTTAGCAAAGTTGGTGGGTAATTGAGGACTGTGAATATGTCAGGCTTTACCAGCTCAATTTCTGGTGCGTGTTGAAGTTTCCTTTGGAGGAGTCTGGGGCAGCAGCTAGATGCCAGTGCAGGGGTAAGGCACAGCCTGTCGTGTGAAGGAGACTGGTTGAGCTAAAGCAGGCAGAAACCTCCTGCAGAATTTTTTTGACGTAGCTTGGCTTGTCTGACACCGATTTCCCTTTGCCCACGGCAGGAGGCCCAAGCCTCCTTTCGCCGGTGCCCGCTGCCCACGCTGTGCCTTAGCCGGAGAAGGGATAACAAGGGTGAGGAGCGCCCTGGGAAGGGTGGGAAGCTGCACGGGAGCAGACCGGGAAAGCAGAGTGTGTTGCTTAACCACGCTTGTCTCTTCCCCAGAATGTATGAACTCTGAGCTGCTGGAAGAGCTGATGTCATCTGAAGGTGAGTCTTCGAGTCTCACCCTCGCGGTGTGGCCTTTCTGGGGGAGGAAGACGGTCTTGGGTGACTTTACCCAGCTGACAGTCTTGCGACTGCAGACTCGCCCTCATCTTTTCTGGGCTCTGGACACAGACTCTGTTCTCACTGTCCTGCCAGTCCCTGAGAGAGGTGTGAGGACCAGGAGAGCCTTCCATCTCTCTTCCTGTCTCCTCCATATCGCGAGGCTGATTTGAAGCGAGCTGAAAGACTGTTACTGTGAGGTGGCCTCCTCGTGGCTCCGCAGCTCGGCGCCCATTGGCAGCTCTTGGCTAGGTGTGGGAGTGCTGAGCTTTGTAACCCACCGCGGGCTTCTCTTTCCCCAGTGTTTGCTCCCTTGCTCCGCCTCTCCCCTCCGCCTGGAGATCACGACTACATCTATAACCTGGACGAGAGCGAAGGCGTCTGTGACCTCTTCGACGTGCCTGTTCTCAACCTCTGACTTCAGTGCAGCTGTGAGCCTCGCAAACACAGACCGTTTTGTAACTCTTTGGAAAGTGTCTATTTTTGGATTCCTTTTGTGCTAGAGCTTGATGAGTGAGCGATTTGGAGATTCTCTCATATGGACTCAGAACCAAGCGATGTGGACTTGCAGGCAGAGAGCCTCCCCGTAGCTTCTTCCTCTTCCTCTGTTGCACGTGCAACTCGCCCCGCCGCATCTCTCTCTCCACTGGATCCTGGGCCTCACTTCAAAGGGTCTGTGTTTTGAGTGTTCCCAGTTCACCCGTAGAGTTTGCCCACGTGCCTCTCTGAGCTTCCTCAAATCTGCATGCCTTGGTTTTTCCTGCACTCCTAGAGGCACTTTGCACCTCCTAGGTACCAGCTGCTACAAGGAGCCCTAATATCATGGTCAGTTCGCAAGCCCGGAGGTAGCTAGCTGGATTTTTCAATGTGAGTGGTTCAGATTGGGGCGGTTATGGTTCTGAATGACAATGGGGGGGGGTGTGTGTGTGAAATGGCACCAAAGTGTCCATTTCTTCCAGTGACTCCAGACCAAGCTAGTATGTTTTACAAGAAAAAGCACTTTTTTTAGCCAGCTGTGCCTCCTAGTGGGACTCAGGAGTTGAGCGTTCCTAGTAGGACTCGGGAGCTGAGTGTTTTCCCTGCTTGGGCGTCAGCAGTAATGCTGGTTCTGCATTCACCAGCCTGCTGATGCATGAGCCCAGGGGCTCCAGCTCCTTGTACAGCAGCTGTGCTGTTTCTACAGGGCTAAAGAAGAGGTGCCAGTATGTTGGTTGTTTGGTTTTTTTTTTTTTTAATTTTTATTTGTTTTTGCCTGAGTTCAGAGATGTTTGAAAGGATAAGACTGCTCCAGCTGGTGCCTGTAAGGTACTCCAGGTACATCAGAGCCTGCTCATATTTGCAAGTAGCTGTCTTCTCCAACCATTGCACTTGAGCCTGCAACTGTCTGAAAGGCGACCAAGCAGTAACAATTCAATAGTACTTTGCTGTGACAAGTTACGTAGGTGTTGTCAAAATAGTGCTCCTTTTTCCCCCCCCTTTTTCTCTCTTAGCATCTGCTCAGGATCAGCTTTCTGTATATTTGAATTTGCTCCTCCAGTGTCCACACCCACGCTCCCAATTCCTGATCCTGTGGCAGGTCGCTGCCTAGTCTGATGCTTTCTCTGCATCGTTTTTCCACAAGCTTTTCTTCATTGCTTTGTAACGGAAGGTCTGCTGCTGGGTTGGTTATGATGGTCAGGTGGTAGCAGTCTTGGACCCTGTGCATTTTAGTTGGAGTAAAACGCCCTGATGGATTTGTGTTGTATTTTGCAAGCCCCAACTTTGGTTTTCGGTCAGATCCTCTATTTGAGTGGGTTTTCCCCTCCTTCCTGCTGCCCTGGTGTTAGCAGCTGTCCTGCCTTCCCTGCTCTGCAAACTGCCGAAGAGAGGGCCAGGCCAGGAGCATGGCTGGCCGTTGCAGAGAGGTAGCTTGCAGCCTTCCACGTAACCAGCTGATGTTTAACTTCTCCGCTTAGCTGCTCACCGCCTGTGAACCACACAACCAGCTGGAGCGCCAGCAGTAAGGGGATGTAAAGTCTCCAATTCTTGGAGCCCGCAGAGGTGAGAAGAGTACGTGCTTGGGACCCGCGTCCCCGAGGTGGCTCCTCGGGCCATCCTGTTCTGTGTGGGACTCCTCCAGAAGAGCCGTTCCTCTCTGCAGCTCCGAAGCACCGGGGGGGCAGCCGCTGCCAGCGAGAGCCGTGGCGCGGGACCCTGCCGGGGGGGGAACTTGAGCCCGCATGCAGCCAGTCCGTGAACCTGCCCTCCTTCGCATGGAAGCTGACCAAACACCCTCGGTCCTGCGCGTGCATTAGCTAGGCTCCGTGGCTTTGGTGTAGCTCGAGCTCTCCATGTACTGCCTGGCCCTCGCCCTCCTTCCGAGAGTTCGTGCTTGCCACCAGTTAGACAACCTTCAGAAAAGGATACCGAGAGAAAAATTTACAGTTGCAAATGAACTTTTGATTCGTATATAAAGATTATTTTTATACTTCTTTTGCAAGGAAAGAAAATTGCCTGTAATATTTGTACAGTGTTCTCTGACGTGAATAAACAAAAAACTTTCCAGAGTTTCCCACCCCGCCCCGGCCTGCGCCTCCCCTCTGCCGAGCCCGGAGGGGATGGGGTGACCCTGAAAAGCGGGGTGCTGGCCGTCCCCC